ACAGCACACACACAGCACACACACAGCACACACACAGCACACAAACACAGCACACACACAGCACACACACAGCACACACACACACAGCACACAAACACAGCACACACACAGCACACACACACAGCACACACACAGCACACACACAGCGCACACATACAGCACACACACAGCACACACACACAGCACACACACAGCACACACACAGCACACACACAACACACACACACACAGCACACACACAGCACACACACAGCACACACACACAGCACACACACACACATAGAACACACACAGAGCACACGTACACACAGCACACACACACATCACACACACATAGCACACACACAGCACACACACACACAGCACACACACAGCGCACACACACACACAGCACACACACAGCACACACACACACAGCACACACAGCGCACGCACACACACAGCACACAGCACACACACAGCACACACACACACAGCACACACACAGCGCACACACACACACAGCACACACACAGCACACACACACACAGCACACACAGCGCACGCACACACACAGCACACAGCACACACACACAGCACACACACAGCACACACATACAGGACACACACATAGCACACACACACACAGCACACGCACACACAGCACACGCACGCACACACACACATCACACACAACACACACATAGCACACACACACACACAGCACACACACAGCACACACACACACAGCACACACACACAGCACACACACACAGCACACACACACACACAGCACACACGCAGCACACACACACAGCACACACACACACAGCACACACACACAGCACACACACACAACAAACACACACAGGACACACACATATCACACACACAGCACACACACAGCACACACACACAGCACACACACATCACGCAGCACACAGCACACACAAAGGTTTGTTACAGGAAACATTGAGGCTGTTCAAATAGCACCATAAATCAAGTAACTTGTAGTGGTCAAGTTACGGGTTCTGGTAAAGTCCCTAGTGTCTAAACAACACACCAGTACTGATAAGGATACCGGTACTGGTCATGTCACCGGTACTGATAAAGTCACCGGTACTGGTCACGTCACCGGCACTGATAAAGTGACTGAAACTGATAAAGTCACCAGTACTGGTCAAGTCACTAGTACTGATCAAATCACAGGTACTGGTCAAGTCACTGCTACTGGTCAAAACGTCAGTACTGATAAAGTCACTAGTACTGGTCAAGTAACAAGACCAGTCTAGTCACTAGTACTAATGGTCACCAGTATTGATCCAGTAACCAGTACTGATCCTGTCACTGGTACTGATCAAGTAACCGGTACTGATAAAGTCACCAGTACTGGTCAAGTCACTGATACTTATCAAGTCACTAATATACTAGCACTGATCAGCTCACCGGTGCTAATCAAGTCACCAGTACTGATAAAGTTACTGGTACTGATAAAGTCATCGATACTGGTCAAGTGGCCAATGCTTATCAGCTTACTAGCACTAATCAGCTTACTGGCACTGATTAAGTCACCAATACTGATCAAGTCACTGGTAATGGAGAAGTCACCGAAACTGGTAAAGTCACCGGAACTGGTCAAGTCACCGGAACTGATCAAGTCACTGGTACTTGTCAAGTCACTGGTACTGATAAAGTCACTGCCTCTGGTCAAGTCACCGGAACTGGTCAAGTTACCGGTTTGCGCCTATTCAGAAGAGTTTAGTTTCGCGTGATCTTGTATTACCGATAGACTTGAGATGGCGATGAGAAGATAAGGAACATCCCGAACCTTAAAGGAAAGGTCGCTGCAGCATTTGTAACTGTAACCCTGGACACAACTTCAGGAGACACAAGTAGTATATCTTTAGGAAATGAACCCTTGAAGGGGGCGTGGCTGACAGTGTAGACTATATTGAAGAAGTACTTCTTTATTCACATCTTCTCGACTTATTTGTAAGTAAGTATACCGCTTTTTAAAGCTAAAAATAGCGTTATTACCCTTTAACATGATAAAAACTAGATGTTAGAAACAGACAAAATCATTATTAAGTATGGACCCGCGCTGGAGACACCCGTTTACGGCGCTAAAAGCGGGACCTAAATGCAGCGGTAAGGCCGTATTTGTGCGAAAGCTTTTAAAACATCTGAGTGATATGGTCGACCCGGTGCTGGAGGTAATTAATTGGTGCTACGAAAGATTGAATTCTTTGTAGGACAACATGGAGGGTGTCATCTTTAACAACGGTCTTATAGATATAGAACAATGGCACATGTATAGGTAACGTCTAGTTGTTGTAGACGATTTGATGGCCGAGACAGATGATAGAGTCACTAAACTGTTTACTAAAGGCAGTCACCATCGCAACATTAGTGTTATTTTTTATGCTAAAGACGTTGGGAGCAATAAAGAACAGAGAAACATCAGTTTGAAACCGCATTGCCTGATAGTTTTCAAAAAACATCGTGATGGCTCACAGATTCCTAACTTGGCCAAACAGATGTATCTTGGCCGTGTTTCCCACGTCCAAGAAAGTTTTAATTACGCGACAGCTAAACATCTCAGCTAGTTACTATTCGACCTCCGGCTGAAAACACGGGACCAACTCAGACTACGCAGCGAAATATTTTCCGACGAGAAACAAGTGGTGTTCATCCCTAAATAACGACATGTCCGACAAACTTAAGCAATACGGCGAATTGCGAGGCTTTTTTAGGCGAGGCAAAATTCAGCACATTCAAAGACAAAATTAAAACCACCTCATCGGATCTTAATAATACACTCCGTGAATTCTGCCACAACGTGTTGAAAGGCAGTGTTGCCCTGACAGTCGATCAGAAGGATGTTTGTGTCGTTACAAAAAGCAATTTAAAAGCTCTCATCCAAAAGAAACTTTCAATCCAAAAGCGGAAACAGATTTTGCAGCACGCCAGTTTTCTTGGGGTTTTATTGGCTCCAATACTAAATGTAGTGGAAAGGTATCTTGGGTTTTTACCCATAGCCAAGAAAATGATATTAATCGACCCACGCTTGATGGGGTCTATGTTTAAAACAACAATATGTACCACCCGATAAATAAACGATAACCTAGGCCAGAGGTCGGCAAATCGCAGCTCGCGAGCCGTATGCGGCTCTTTGGCGACCTGAGTGTGGCTCGGCCAGTCGGACACAAATCGGGTTTGACTCCGAAAAACATGGTTCTTGACAAGTTCTTGAAAAGAAATGTGGCTCTAAAAAAATTAATTGTTTTACTGCTGATTTTTGGCTTTTTCGGCTAAAAAGTTTGCCGACCAGTGACCTAGGCGATTTAAATGCACAAATGCAACATTTCGTGGAAAACGAAGAGTTGTCACCGCGTGACAAAGCCCGACTATATCAACTAACACAAAGCAACAACAGCAGCAGCCGCCGTCGCCGACCGTGCTTAAAGACGAAAGTACTGACACAAAGATTCAGTCGCCGCCTGTTTAAAGTCAAAAGAAGACTGTTGAACCAGAGACACTAACAGTTTCGTCGTATTTGCTTAGGCAAATGAAGGAAAAGTTTAAAACACCTACAACCCGGTGGGAACAATAGCCGCACAAGTAGGAAATTATTATTATGGTCCGAGTCGACCAGGGGCATATATTGGAACTGACGCCTTACAATGCCATACCAAAACTGGGGCTAAAGATGTCAAAGAATGGTCAAGTCATTAAACAGATCAAAGGAATCGGTTTATTAATAAAATCTTGAGCATCTATGGACTAAAGACTAGTACTATTTTTTACGTCATGGATATTCAAAGGCTGCATGCACAAAACTATTGCGATCTAGTTGGCAGTTTTCGCGAAAATAAACTGTAAACGTGTTTATGAATTTCTGAACGAGCTATAATATGGTGCCTTCAGTAAAAAGTAAAAGTAAAGATCCCTTTCCACGCCTTTAGGCATATCGGGCATATGGGAAGAGTGCCCATATTTTTACAGACCATCAGCACTCGGTGGGTAATGTGGTCAGCATTACGCCTGCCTTCAGAAGCCTAGTTAAAATACATACTGATAACATTACTGAAAGTTGTATAATTCACCGTGGAACCTAAGCCCGGGTTAATGACGACAATGTCAGTTATCAAGCGAGCGCCCAGCCCTATGCATAGCCCATCTTTACATCGGCTATATAGTTCTAGACCTACATGTTTTATATACCATTCGCTACCTGGAGGGCGATGTGGTCAGCATCACACTTACGCCTGTGCTTTTCACGACTTTACCTGATACCCATTTCAGATCGTGCTGACCTGGAGCTTTTAAAAAAGAGTAGAAAACTAAAGGGAAGAGAAAAAGTTGGTAAGAAACAACAAATAGTTCATGTTAGCTTTACAAAATCGATCACATTAAACAAACAAAGGACGTTGCGGCGGTTAGCCTTCATCAGCACATAAAGGAGAACACAGTACATGTACACAAATATGCTCTAACTATGAAGTGACTACATAGGACTCTAATGTATAAAATAAATGATACTCAACTGTGTCTCTGGCGAAAAAACTTTGTTTAATGAAATGACGGTCAGCCTATACATCTCCAATGCGCGGGTGGGGGGGGGGGGGCGAAAAAAGGGGCGGATTAGAAGCCAACAGCGTACACTGAGTGTCTAAGGAGGGAGGGAGGGGTTGGCCTATAGGGCGTAACCGGGGTTGGGTTGTGGGGATGACAATAGTCCCTAAGGTTAGCTTTGGAAAGGATGCTGTCTCGATGAAATGTTAAACCCTATGCCGTCCGACCGGTAGGTGAATGTCTAACCACGACACTTCTGCGGCTACCTAGGAAACGTATTTACATGTGAGATGAAACATGCTGTGTTGTGAGGTCTAAGAAAATGACCAGATTTATTTAACCTACTCAGACCAAACAGGAACAATGTAACATACTATATGTTGTTTGGAACGCCAAGAGTAATAAAATAGTCTATTCCCCCTCTCTCTCCCTGGCCCATCCCCCAGGAACACTTGTTTGACGTGAGTGACCTTCAACACGAGCCATCAGTCATCTCCAAATGTGGCAGCCTTGAGGTATCCTTTCAATACGACAACGCCCACAGTCGTCTCCTGGTGACCGTTCATCAGGCTAAAGAAATTCCCGCCAAAGACAGGGGCGGGGCAAACAACACACAGGTAAGAGAGTTTTCATCACGTGACAAACGAACCTTTTTTTTCGTGTGTAATTGCGTACATTGATTCATCATTCATGAGTGATAAGCCCTCGTGCGGTCGATATTAAGAGAAAGAATAGTGATTTTTTAACTTAAATGTTACATGAAGGGGGGAAAAATAGACAAGCGGCACCTTTAATAAGCATGTCACAGAGGGAATCCAATTAAGGAATTGCTGACATATGATCTTTTAAGTCGAAATGCGCTGATATTGCAGTCTAGCTGTAAACCATAACAGAACGTGCCAGTCAGTTTTAAGGATGACCGCCCAAAAAAAAAAAGAACTCTCCGGATATACAATAGTTATCGTGTTGTCATAGTTACTGACACACGCTGTGTGAGATTTTTAAAAATTCGAAAAGGCATGATGTTATTATTATTATTATTATTATTATTATTGTCATTATTCATGCCATGATTTAGACGTTTTTATTGAAGACATTTTTGGTAGAAGAAATCAGATGGGCTGGGTCCAGTTACAGAGAATGGAGGATTGGACAGAGAAATAGAAAACTGAATACCGTAGAGAGATCCTGGAAACCCTGTATAGCCATTAGGCCATATTTAAGACCCGTCTATGTTTAGGGCCCCCGGCAAAAGCTAGGGTGGGGCTTCAAAATAACTAAAAATTGGATCCCACAAGGGGATGATAGTTCTAATGACAGCACCACATTTGAGAAATCAAAATATCAACGTGTATATGTAAAAAAATAGCGGATACATTTTAAATGCTCTATTCGTACTGACTTCAAAATAACTAAAAATTGCATCCCACAAGGGGATGATAGTTCTAATGACAGCACTACATTTGAGAAATCCAAACAACCTGTATATATCAAGAAAAAAAAATAGCGGATACATTTTAAATGCTCCATTCGTACCGACTTCTTGCTACGAATACCAGACATGGACAGTCCTAGAAAGAAAAAAATTACGGATACATTTTAAATGCTCTATTCGTACCGACTTCTTGCTACGAATACCAGACATGGACAGTTCTAGAAAGAAAGAAAAAATGCAACTCTACAATATGAGAAGTAAGATGTGTAAGAAAAGCGGCGAGAAGAACAATAAGGGGCAAAGTCACTAGTAAAGAACTAAGAAATATAGCAGACACGTACCGGTGACTGATTTCATAGAACATCAATCAAGTGGTTTGGTTTTATGGCCAGAATGGAATAAAATCAACCAATAGCTAGAGCGTACTGCAGGAGAACGACAGGTTACAGGGCAAGAGGCCGACCAAGAAAGAGATGTGTGGTAGGAGCAATATGACATCAAGACAAGCTACACAACTAGCAAAAGACAGGAAACTCCTTTATGTGAGGCTTTACAGCAAAAGCAGTAGGACAAGAGAAGAAACCTTGCAGACATTTTGAAGATTTTTATTCCTAACACAGATTTTGGTTTTCTTTACAGGTACGAATAATGTTGCTACCTGGCAAGAAACAGCGACACAAGACGAAGGTCAAAGACGGAGAGAACCCTGTGTTTGATGAGAAGTTCTGCTTCAATAAAATTTTGCCTGGTAAGCGGTTACTGTGAAACGAATCTTCTTCTACTTTACCTCCTCTGTTACCGCTGGGGGTGTCGAGGGAGATATGAGGTTCTGCCTCTTGATCTTCCGGACCCCTTGACCATAGACACATCGTACTTTTGTAGAGTTTTCTGATGTTATCTTTCCATATTTTCTTAGTCTACCTCGTGATCTTCTTCCATTGCCTCTTTTGGTGCATGCCTTTGGTGGCATGGTGTCACAAGGATTCTCTCCAAGCGGGAAAACTCATTCGATTTGCCGTCTTTGGACGTAATTTAAAACTGGTTCTGTGTCGTATTTTTCTCTTATAACCTCATCTTGATTCGATCTCTTTGGGTCACTCCTGCAGCCCTTCTCAGACATCTAATGTCCATGATTACTAATTTTCTTTTCTGGTTTGTTGTGAGAGACCATGTCTGGCAGTCAGTGGTAGCATAGCTTTGGAATGAATTTGATTTGTATGAGATGTTTCTGTGTTGTGAGAGACCATGTCTGGCAGGGAGTGGTAGCATAGCTTTGGAATGAATTTGATTTGTATGAGATGTTTCTGTGTTGTGAGAGACCATGTCTGGCAGGGAGTGGTAGCATAGCTTTGGAATGAATTTGATTTGTATGAGATGTTTCTGTGTTGTGAGAGACCATGTCTGGCAGGGAGTGGTAGCATAGCTTTGGAATGAATTTGATTTGTATGAGATTTTTCTGTGTTGTGAGAGACCATGTCTGGCAGGGAGTGGTAGCATAGCTTTGGAATGAATTTGATTTGTATGAGATGTTTCTGTGTTGTGAGAATGATGAATGTTTATGTTAGTTTTGATACACTGACCTCTGACAAAGTGGCTAGAATTCTTGTTTCTCATTCGGGAGACCTTGGTTCGAATCATCATCAGGTGATGACAGTGTTTTTGTCAAGGCCAAAGATAAAATCTTAACCTGCACAGTTTGGGGCATCTGCAGTTGGCATGTGTCCCTAGATGCTCAGCCTCAGGATCTCTTTGCCCTTCACCTTCCTAAAAAAAAGTGGTAAAGTAAAGAAAGTTATTACGTGGAAGCACGCATGATTTTCTCAACATATATTTCTCCAATTGCGCATTTACTGTGGGATCTACTCAGAGTTAAGGAAATCTGAAGTACTGGGTTCTAGTTAAAGTAATAGGTCGTTCTTGATGATCTCTCATTCCAGGGGAGCGAGTTATTTCAAGTCACTCTGTTAGACCAACACGTATTTGTATACGATGTACGTCTCCTAGATTCCCGTGAGCTGACCAGTAATTCTAAATCCTAACAGTTTTGTAGAATACACATTTTGTGGTCTATTTTTTTGAATTTCCAGCAGCCGTGGAATTTTTAACAACTGGTACATTAAAGACCTCCTGTTCTTCGCCTTATTATAAGAAGATTTTCTATCTGATCTTATTTTCTACATTGGCCATCAGTGACAAAAAGCAGCTTACTGGGAGTGAAACCAATTAACTTTATTACAGTAATTAATTAACATTAACATTATCAGTGTTTTTTTTTTTTTTTATTTATACACCTGCAACGATTGATAACACTTTTATCTGTTTTTGGAGCAGCAGTAGTAGCAGAAATAACTGCAGCAATTGTAGTTGTCGCTGCAGTAGTAGTTAAGTTAGTTAGTTGCGTATCCCTAATAGGACTTGCGTATCCATTATAGGACGTCGCAGAACCAACCCCAGCATTTTTTGGCTGTTGTGGTTTTTCTCCAGTAGTTTGCCATTGCTGTCTGGACGGTCAGCTTCTCGATAACACTGTCGAAACCAGCGCAAGGCCCGCAGCTGGGATCGAACTGGGCACCCCAGCATTACAAAGCACGTTCTCGACTCCTGAGCCACACATGGCGGTAGTAGTAAAATTAGACAGAAGAACTATAGCAGTAGTAGAAAGTAACTAATGCAGGAACTATAGTAAAAGAAATATTGAGAATAATAGTATTAGTGTAGTAGTAGTAGTAGTAGTATAGCGACAGCATCATCATTAACAGCACAAGTTTTAGTAGTGGTTACAGAAGTGGCAACTGTTGTCTTGTGCTAGTGCTAGTAGGGGGGTGATGGTGATGGTGGGAGCAGTAGCAGCAGCTGTAGAGTCACTGTAGTCTCCCTTTGTATTTATGTGTGTGTGTGCGCGCGGACGAGTGCGTGCGTACGCGCGCGCCCGCGTGTGTGTGTGTGTGAGATCTGTTTCAAACGTGACTCTATAAAGTACCGTCTATCCAATACACAGATGAACTTCCTAATATGGGGTTGAGATTCCGCTTGTATGGACTGGAACGGATGAGAAGAGAAAGAATGATCGGGGAATCTATCCTTGGATTCGCGTCCTTGAACTTGGAGCAGGAAACTACACACTGGATTGTTCTAGAACCAAGAAGCAACTTGAGTGTAAGTTTCTTTTTCCTTTAATGTGTTGCAGATGTTGTGGGCACAGCTTTCAGATCCTGGAATTCATTTTTCATTGACATAACTATCAGGTTGGCCCAGACGGGTGCTAGGAGGTTTCTTGGGAGGTAAAGGCTGCCTGTGTGACATTCATCTTATTTCCCACTGGGCGCCGGTTGGTCTGGGTGGGCGCACCAGAACCTGGGAGTTCAGGTATTTTCACCCCCCCCCCCCCTTTCCAATATATACAAATTGTGTGTGTATTTCTCTATATACTTCATAATTATTATTGTTAGTATTGTAAACGTGTATAAGGATTAGGCCAATTGAGGTCCTTTCTCCACCTCCTAGACAATTTTAGGGAGCCCCCCCCCTCCCCCCCCCCGCTTCTTAATTCTGAGGCGCAGGTTTCTATCTCATCTGCGGGTGATTTGGTAGCAGACTGTCTTGCATTGTTGAATTGTACTGTGGTATTGACAGCCGATCGTTAAGCTGGCAATGGCAGTGTAAGCACAGAAGGCAGTGTAAGCACAGATGGCAGTGTAAGCACAGATGGCAGTGTAATCACAGAAGGCAGTGTTAGCACAGATGGCAGTGTAAGCACAGATAGCAGTGTAAGCACAGATGGTAGTGTAAGCACAGATTGCAGTGTAAGTACAGACTGCAGTTTAGGCAGAGATGGCAGTGTAAGCACAGATAGCAGTGTAAGCACAGATTGCAGTGTAAGCACATAAGGCAGTGTAAGCACAGATGGCAGTGTAAGCACAGATGGCAGTGTAAGCACAGATGGCAGTGTAAGCACATAAGGCAGTGTAAGCACAGATGGCAGTGTAAGCACAGATGGCAGTGTAAGCACAGATTGCAGTGTAAGCACATAAGGCAGTGTAAGCACAGATGGCAGTGTAAGCACAGATGGCAGTGTAAGCACAGATGGTAGTGTAAGCACATAAGGCAGTGTAAGCACATAAGGCAGTGTAAGCACATAAGGCAGTGTAAGCACATAAGGCAGTGTAAGCACAGATGGCAGTGTAAGCACATAAGGCAGTGTAAGCACATAAGGCAGTGTAAGCACATAAGGCAGTGTAAGCACATAAGGCAGTGTAAGCACATAAGGCAGTGTAAGCACAGAAGGCAGTGTAAGCACAGATGGCAGTGTAAGCACATAAGGCAGTGTAAGCACATAAGGCAGTGTAAGCACAGATGGCAGTGTAAGCACATAAGGCAGTGTAAGCACATAAGGCAGTGTAAGCACAGATGGCAGTGTAAGCACATAAGGCAGTGTAAGCACATAAGGCAGTGTAAGCACAGATGGCAGTGTAAGCACAGATGGCAGTGTAAGCACATAAGGCAGTGTAAGCACATAAGGCAGTGTAAGCACAGATTGCAGTGTAAGCACAGAAGGCAGTGTAAGCACATAAGGCAGTGTAAGCACATAAGGCAGTGTAAGCACAGATTGCAGTGTAAGTACATAAGGCAGTGTAAGCACATAAGGCAGTGTAAGCACAGATGGCAGTGTAAGCACATAAGGCAGTGTAAGCACATAAGGCAGTGTAAGCACAGATGGCAGTGTAAGCACAGATGGCAGTGTAAGCACATAAGGCAGTGTAAGCACATAAGGCAGTGTAAGCACAGATTGCAGTGTAAGCACAGAAGGCAGTGTAAGCACATAAGGCAGTGTAAGCACAGATTGCAGTGTAAGTACAGACTGCAGTTTAGGCAGAGATGGCAGTGTAAGCACAGATAGCAGTGTAAGCACAGATTGCAGTGTAAGCACAGAAGGCAGTGTAAGCACAGATGGCAGTGTAAGCAGAGATAGCAGTGTAAGCACAGAAGGCAGTGTAAGCACAGATGGCAGTGTAAGCACAGATAGCAGTGTAAGCACAGATGGCAGTGTAAGCACATAAGGCAGTGTAAGCACAGATGGCAGTGTAAGCACAGATGGCAGTGTAAGCACAGATGGCAGTGTAAGCACAGATGGCAGTGTAAGCACATAAGGCAGTGTAAGCACAGATTGCAGTGTAAGCACAGAAGGCAGTGTAAGCACAGATGGCAGTGTAAGCACAGATGGCAGTGTAAGCACATAAGGCAGTGTAAGCACAGATGGCAGTGTAAGCACAGACTGCAGTTTAGGCAGAGATGGCAGTGTAAGCACAGATAGCAGTGTAAGCACATAAGGCAGTGTAAGCACAGAAGGCAGTGTAAGCACAGATTGCAGTGTAAGCACAGATTGCAGTTTAAGTAGAGATGGCAGTTTAAGCACAAACAGCAAGGAAAAAAAAAAGGGGGGGGGGTGGATACTGATTTGGATCTAGCAGCTAGCTTAGTAGTTTAATCTCTTTATCTTCTTCTTCTTAACTTTCACTGGCTGTAAACTCCAATGGATAGTTCTGGATGTTCATCCACTCCTGGACATTGGTCTTGATACATAACTTGAGTTTGTCTGTACATTCATTTTACAGATCTGGCTTATTTGTATGCAGACTGTTGGTTTTTTGTCTCTCAGGCAGATGCACTCTGATTTTTAAAAAACATGCCTCATTGGTCGCCTCCTATGACATGCTTGTTGGGGAAGCAGTGGGTCTATTCTTTGTACTCCAAAAAAAGAGCTCGGGAACCCACACGGGAAAAGTAGCTTTGTGACTAGTCACAAGTCAGTCTATAAGTCCAGCCTTAGTCTTGTTGCTTTGATGTCTTCCATTAATTGTAATTGTACTATTGAAACTGACCCCCTGAGAATGTTCTGTTGTATGATGTTGCTCCTTACTACAATGACACCACTAACGCATGACAACAGGTTACTGCATAACCATCAGGTGCCCATATACCCTGTTTTAGTTCGCTGCATTTTCTTGTTTAAATTCATTGGTAATGACATGTTTATTGCAATCAAAACAAATACAGTATTACAAACATGGCTTATCATTAGTTAGCTTCAGAGGCAATGTATGTAAACATCTTGTTCTTAGCAGGTCTGCAGTCATGCTTGTTAGCATTGTTTGTTTTTCTTCTTCGATCCTTGTAAGAAAACCTTACATCATAAGGCTAGAAGCCTTGATGAAAGCTTTCATGCAGTCCAAATCTTCCTGTTGCCATATGTTTGTTGTTACTGAGGTTGAAATACGCCAGATAGCCTCTGTTAACAGTATACAGTATATACCACGACATCCACAAGCGATTAACATCTGGTGAGACAAAGTGCCGCCATGTGGATGAGGATCACCTGTGGTGAGGTCCCAGAAACCCCTTTCAGCCGTTAGGCCATATCTATGCCCCATCAATATTCAGGGCCCCGACAGAAGCCAGGGCGGGGCTTCAAACACACAAAAAATGCGGCCTTCATGGGGACGACTTTTTGCATGAAAAAGATTTATAGGCCTGTTGGATTCACATTAGGAAAGTGGCTCGTCGAGCAACTGGGCATCACTCTTTCAGACTGTAATCCCTTTGAGAAAAATAAGGAACAATAAAAATCAGAGGGAATGTGTGAATTGTGTTATTTATTTGTTTTAGCATGGTGACTCCGGCTTTGATGTGTCGAGCCTATCTCGGAGTGACAGTGGCTCCTCCACACAGTCTCTACAACATGGAGGCATGCCCGAACTACTCCTGGGTCTGGCATACAATGGAACCACAGGCCGTTTGTCAGTAGAAGTCATCAAAGGAAGTAACTTCAGAAATATGGCAATGAATCGTGCACCAGGTACATTTCATTATTTTTCATAATTCTCCCCAACCTTAACACCCCCCCCCCCCCCCCCAACCTCCCTCCCCCCCCTTTTCTTCCTTTTCCCCTACCAAAACAAGTAATTTTTGTTAACTGAGTTAAAAATAACTATTTTTATTGCAAACTAGGGCATTATTAGCATTGTGAAACTACAGCAGAGTCAGTGGTACAAGTGAAAGTACATCAAAGAATGGACAAACAGCAGTCTGGGATGTGAGACAGTGGACTGGAGATTAGTTGTAGCTCCCCTTCATTGTGAAGATGGCACCTGAATGATTGAATTACAGATCTTAGCAGTTCTAATCTACCATTATTTACACATTTAAATGTGTAATCTAAGTATTTGTTAGTGAGCTCTTCTACCGACACAAAGGTTCTACTGCTTCTTCTTCTTCTTCGTGTTCAGCAGAAAGCTCTGATTGCTCGTCTATATCTAGACTTTAATCTTGTTCCATAATTTGAGGTCTGCATTTATTCTACAGATATGCTTATTTATATGCTGACTTTTGGTTCCTCACATCTCAGGCAGATCAACTCTGATTTGGAAGGAAGCAACCCTCATTAGTCAGTGTTGACACATGCTTGTTAGAGGGGTAGTGGGTCTCTTCCTTGTTTCCCTCACAATGAGACTGAAACTCCATGGGGAGGTCCTTGTTTAATAAATAGCAATGACTAGACTCATGCATTCTTGCAAGTATGGCTTTGATGTTGACAGAACTCTATGCCATTTCCATCATCATTAGTATACATGTAAACCTCTGTCATATATAACATCGTACAATCTTTACTTTATTTGCTTACAGCACAACTCTCTATCCACATCACAGACTGGTATAGAAAACTTAAGAGCCTCAAGCCAAAAAAATTGTGAAAACCACAACTTATATCTTAACATAGTATACAGATAAAACTACTATGGAGAAGGAAATATATGTGAATGAGGAAAGATTGGAGGTTGTGGAACATTTCAAATATCTTGGGTCATTGATTAATAACAATGGTGACACAATGAAAGAAATTAAATGACGACTATCAATTGCTCTTCAAAGACTATTACAACTGAATGAATTATGTAGTAGGACGGACAGAACTACAAAAATTCTATGTATCGTTCGCCTGTGAGACGGACACTTACTAAACAAGCTGAACAGCGCATATATGCAAATGTTACAGATAGCTTCTAAGAATATCTTGGGTAAAGAAAAGAACAAATGCATCCATACTTCAAGAACTAAATACTAAAGAAGGTTGGCTATTAAAGACGATAGAACATAGAAAATTGAAATATTTTGGTCACTTGAAACGTCATGAAAGTTTAGAGAGAACAATAATGGAGGGGTAAATGCCTTGGAAGAGAGGAAGAGGAAGGCCAAAGAGAAAATGAGTGCAGGATGGTCTCCAGATGGGTGTATCGGACACGGGACATCTTGCTTGTGATCGAGAAGTTTTCCAGAGGGTTGTTATGGGAGCAAGGTTCTGCAAAGGGCATACTTCTGACTGACTGACTGACTGACTGACTGACTTACTGTCTGTATAATTAATCCATGAATAATAGTAGTGGTAGTTTATGTCGAGAAAGGCTCCGACCAAACCTGTTTTTGTTTTGTTTATGTACGTTGTACCCCTAGCCAATTTTGTCAAGCTTCATAATCCAGTTCTGTGGATTTATTTCTCAGTATTCGATTGACTGCAGTCACCACTATTTTCATCACTTTTTCGAATCTCTCAGTATACTGTATGCATGGAGCTAATACCAGATTCTCCGTATACTGTATGCATGGAGCTAATACCAGATTTTCAGTATACTGTATGCATGGAGCTAATACCAGATTCTCAATATACTGTATGCATGGAGCTAATACCAGATTCTCCGTATACTGTATGCATGGAGCTAATACCATATTCTCAGTATACTGTATGCATGGAGCTAATACCAGATTCTCAGTATACTGTATGCATGGAGCTAATACCAGATTCTCAGTATACTGTATGCATGGAGCCTGTACCAGATTCTCACTATACTGTATGCATGGCGCTAGTACCAGATTCTCACTATACTGTATGCATGGAGCTAATACCAGATTCTCAGTATACTGTATGCATGGAGCTAATACCAGATTCTCAGTATACTGTATGCATGGAGCTAATACCAGATTCTCCGTATACTGTATGCATGGAGCTAATACCAGATTCTCAGTATACTGTATGCATGGAGCTAATACCAGATTCTCACTATACTGTATGCATGGAGCTAATACCAGATTCTCAGTATACTGTATGCATGGAGCTAATACCAGATTCTTAGTATACTGTATGCATGGAGCTAATACCAGATTCTCAATTTACTGTATGCATGGAGATAATACCAGATTCTCAGTATACTGTATGCATGGAGCTAATACCAGATTCTCACTATACTGTATGCATGGAGCTAATACCAGATTCTCACTATACTGTATGCATGGAGCTAATACCAGATTCTCAGTATACTGTATGCATGGAGCTAATACCAGATTCTTAGTATACTGTACGCATGGAGCTAATACCAGATTCTCAATTTACTGTATGCATGGAGCTAATACCAGATTCTCAGTATACTGTATGCATGGAGCTAATACCAGATTCTCACTATACTATATGCAAGTAGCTAATACCAGATTCTCAGTATACTGTATGCATGGAGCTAATACCAGATTCTCAGAACCATATTCGTCTTTTTATTTTTCTGCATTCACCTTCCACTCATTCAGTCCAAAGAAAAGCATCATACATTCATAGATTCATACTTAGAAGCCCAGTGAGCACAAGATGCACTGATTTAACATTTCTCTTTACCACCCCTTAGGCCACTGATGCTAAACCCCATAGGACTAACAGAGTTAAAAGAGTTTACAGCTAGGCTGAGATATCTGCAACTTTTAGCCCAACACATTCAAATTTAGCAAACCCTAATTAGTCGCCATGTATGACATGCTCATGAAGGGATAGTGGGTCTGTTATTTTCTTCTTTCCAAAATTGGGCCCGGGAACACACACGATGGTAATACCATATACTATGTATACGTTATGCCTAATGTCATGTCCTTAATATACTTAATGGGCCTGATATTATATCTTCATTATGTTTTTAGACCTAATAACTTATTATAAGTAAACTATATAAAAGTAAAAGTAAAGTCGGGAGATGTGAACCAGTGTCACTGCACATGGTTATAAACCATAAGTGCTCTGCCACCAGTACGGACAGCTGATAGAAACTGTCTGCCTGTGTCGCCGTTCGAACGAAACTCCATAGCTACAGCGACGTTCCTCCATTTACCCCAGAGTGTTAACTCTGGTACCCATTTCCTAGAGGCTGGGTGAACCCCGGGAACCATCCGGTTTTGAACACCGGCCATGGGCTGCAGCGTGTCGCAGCTGGATTTGAAAGCGAGTCTCCTATCGACTGCACTAACGCCTCCCAGTAAACTATATAGATGGGTCTAATGCTGTATTTCCAGTATATATTTATCATCATCATTGTTCTGTTGTTGCGTATTGTGTCACATAGGGCTTGTAGTCTATTCCTCGATTCCGTTCTCTCCTGTGCGATCCCTTTGATATCAGTGAATCCAGTCCAGCGCCTTTAGCTTCTCTCTTCAGCATACATTTGAGTTTTTTATTTCTTTTTTATACATTTTCGATTCCTTAATCCCTTCATTGTCCCATTGAAATGCCTGTTTGGTGATTCTCTGCTCATTAAGGATGTCTCCAATCTAGCACCATCTGCTTTGTCTTATAACTGTTGTTACCAGTTGTTGCCCAGACATTTCTTTCTTTACCTTCCTTAAATTCATCCCATTTTATATTCAACATTACCCTCAGGAGTTTGTTTTCCAATTAATTTAACTTTCATTGCATTTATTTAATGATTCTCCAACTGTTACTAAGCTAAAAAAAAAAAACAGAAGTAAAGGACCCTTTTCCACGCCTTTAGGCGTATAGGGCATATAGGGCTAGACCTATATTTTATAGACCAATGGGCATAAGATGGGTGATGTGGTCAGCATCACGCCTGCCGCCTCTACTTCCCAGGACTGCACCCGGTACCCACTCAAGGCTGGGTCGACCTGGGAGCCAACTTACTGGCATTCGTTAAAATTAAACTAACATTAGTATACATTTATTGCATCTCTGTTTGTACCATATAGAGTCGTCCCATATTGAGATGCAATTTTTCATTTTTTTTAAAGCCCCCACTCCCACTGTTATTGGGGGTCCTAATATAACCTATCAGTTGAATGGGGTTTCTGGGACTTGCACCCGGGTGATTCTCATCCGAATGGTGGCCCTTTGTGTCACAGTGTGGTCCTGTTAGGGTTGAACTTCATTTATTCAGGTCATATAAATGATCTATACTTACATTTCGAATTTATATAATCCTTTACTACTAACAGGCATGCTTCCTGCAGAATGGCAAGCATCACTTCATAGGTCTCGGGTAGTTAGCATCCTTTGGAAATTTTCTCTAGGTGATGCCTGTGTGTAGGGAAATGAGCAGGCAGATAGACTGGCTGGCTCTGCACCAATTGGTGGTGAATTGATGTATGACAAGCTAGATATTGTGAGGGCCCTTTGGAAGCGAGTGTACAGTGCAGATGCGCAGAGAGATCATTACGGTCTAAGAAAAATGGCGCTGCGAGGAATTACCAGGGGATGTGGCCGACGCTCAACACTCAGGGTAATGATGAGACGGATATACAATCAGACAGCTACTGGTGCCACTGGAATTGGAACTCTTTGCTTGCTGCTGAAGATGAGGACAGAGCACTTATGGGAGTGTCCAGAGTGCTGTGATATCGATTCCTAATTCAACAATTAATTTTTTTACTACTTGGCAAAATAAAACAGTAAGGCATATTCTATGATTGCTCTTATGTTTCAGAAGGGATTTTTCTATTTTGATGATCATGGTGTATCACTACTTGCAGACACATATGTGAAGCTTAGTCTGATGAATTCATCTGGCCAGGAAGTGCAGCGCTGCAAGACGTCCATCCGTAGAGGTCAGCCGAACCCACTGTTTAAGGAAACGTTCATGCTTCAGGTGGCGCTGTTTCAGCTTCCGGAGGTCACCTTGATGGTGTCTGTTTATAACAAAAAGAGTATGAAAAAGAAAGAAATGATTGGCTGGTTTTCATTAGGTGAGCTGCATGTTCGTGTATTGAACATTTGTACAGTTGGTCTTACTAACTGAATACTCTTACATTTTGCAGGTCTAGGAGAAACTCTGACCCACGCATTTTCTCCTTCATTGTTTTCACTTCCTCTTTAACCACTTTGGGTGTTGAGGGAGATATAAGCTTCTGCTTTTTGCTCTTCTGACCACCTGGCTCAATACATTGTACTGTTGTCTGATATTTTTCCATTTTGTTCTTGATCTGCTTTGAGCTCTACTTTCCTATCCACTTTTAGTATATACCTTTCATGGTATGGTATCACAAGGTTTTCTCCCCAAGTGGGAAAACATTTTATTTCTACGCACACATCATGGTCAATAAACTAAATAATAATTATCCAAGTAAATGACACCCCACATTGAACATTCTTTTAAATGTACTGCCAGCCATTTCTGATATATCGGGTGTTACACTCTGGGCAAAACTCAATGTTTTGTCATAACTCTGACACTAAGACATGGCAACAAAATTTGGAGATGACTTACCACTCGTCATGTGAAGTCAGGGGACATCATAACAAGTTCTGGAAATGGCCACCATTCGCGTCCAGGCAGCAAATCTTTGTCTGACCTTGAGTCAAGCTTGTTTACCCTGACCTGCTAAGACGGGCTTACCACAAAATAGAATGTTGCATCCAATGCTACCTGGACGCCAACAGTAGCCATTTCCATCATCTGTTATGATGTCACCTGACTTTACATGAATATTTCGCTGCCATACCTTCATTAGTGTCAAAGTTATGAATGAAATAATGGGTTTCTCTCGAGTGAAAACCCGATAGATGCTCCTTCATGCGATGAAGCCAAACTGTTTAACATTCTCTGTCTTAGTATTCATGTGCTTGTCTTTTCCCTCCAGATTTTCTGCTGTCACAATGCACTCTAATTTTCCCTTTCTCTTGATTTGTCCAAAAGTGGATTTTTTATTTTTGCTTGAGAGCTGTTGACAGAAAGCTGTTGACAGAGAGCAGTTGACAGAGAGCTGTTGATAGAGAGCAGTTGACAGAGAGCAGTTGACGGAGAGCAGTTGACAGAGAGCAGTTGACAGAGAGCAGTTGACAGAGAGCAGTTGACAGAGAGCAGTTGACAGAGAGCAGTTGACGGAGAGCAGTGGACAGAGAGCTGTTAACAGAGAGCTGTTGACAGAGAGCAGTGGACAGAGAGCTGTTGACAGAGAGCTGTTGACAGAGGGCTGTTGACGGAGAGCAGTTGACGGAGAGCAGTGGACAGAGACCTGTTGACAGAGAGCAGTTGACAGAGAGCAGTGGACGGAGAGCTGTTGACAGAGAGCTGTTGACAGAGAGCTGTTGACGGAAAGCTGTTGATGGAGAGCAGTTGACGGAGAGCAGTTGACAGAGAGCAGTTGACAGAGAGCTGTTGGCAGAGAGCAGTGGACAGAGGGCAGTTGACAGAGGGCAGTTGACAGAGAGCAGTTGACAGAAAGCTGTTGACAGAGAGCAGTTGACAGAGAGCAGTTGACAGAGAGCAGTGGACAGAGAGCTGTGGACAGAGAGCTGTTGACAGAGAGCTGTTGACAGCTGTTGACAGAGAGCAGTTGACAGAAAGCTATTGACAGAGAGCTGTTGACAGATAGCTGTTGACAGATAGCTGTTGACAGAGAGCTGTTGACAGAGAGCAGTTGACAGAGAGCTGTTGACAGAGAGCTGTTGACAGAGAGCAGTGGACATAGAGCTGTGGACAGAGAGCAGTTGACAGAGAGCAGTTGACAGAGAGCTGTTGACAGAGAGCTGTTGACAGAGAACAGTTGACAGAGAGCTGTTGATAGAGAGCTGTTGACAGAGAGCTGTTGACAGAGAGCTGTTGACAGAAAGCTGTTGACAGAGAGCTGTTGACAGAAAGCTGTTGACAGAGAGCTGTTGACAGAGAGCAGTTGACAGAGAGCAGTTGACAGAGAGCAGTTGACAGAGAGCTCTTGGTCATTGTTCCAAGTTCCCCAGCAGTAGGCAGAGGATCATACTGTGGTGACTTCTGCCACCATCACCCACCAGTATCGTCGCTGCGAGAAGGAAAGCAGTGGCAAACTAGCTTATTCAGAATGCTAAGAATTGTCATGATAATTTCACAAA